AGTACTTTTTGTCGGACACTTCTAGCTGCCTACAGGGCAATCAAGCATTTGCCGCATGCAGTTGAAGGTAGGAATTTCACCCTTCTCACCGGCCATAAGCATTTAACGGATGCTTTGCATACCAAGTCTCATCGCTATTCTGCACGAAAAACCAGACATTCAGACCATATTTCGCAGTTCACGACTGACCTTCGACATGTGCAGGGCAAGTCAAACTGTGTTGCTGACGCGTTATCACGAATTAACATTAATGCTATAACGCGCATTGTGCTAGATTTTTGTGCTATGGCTGCAGCACAAGCATACGATACCTCCTGTTAAGAGGCAGCCTGTTCATCCTTGTTGTTATCCTGTAGAACCTACAGCAACAACGTCTGGCACCATCCTCTGCGACACCTCATGAGGCATCGTTTGCCCAATAGTATCTTCTCCTTACCAGGGTCTCGTGTTCGATACTTTACACAGGCCATCTCACCCAGTTATCGCATCCACACTACACTTAATTGCTGCACGATATGTCTTGCCGTCCATGAATAAAGATGTCCATATGTCGGCGAAACAATGTCTACAATGTCAACGAGCTAAGATTCACAGGCACGTAATTTCACCTACAGACACTTTTGCTACGCCTGACGCTCGATTCGATCCTGTACACATTGACTTTGTCGGACCTTTACCACCGTCAAAGGAGTATGCGCATATACTTACTTGCGTGGACCAGTTCACAAGATGGCCCGAGGTTATACCTATCTCTACCGTCACGGCCGAAACACGGGCTCGACAATTTGTAGAACAATCATACCAATTCTCGAAGCATCCAAATCTTCAATGGTCTCTAAACATTTTCGTCCCATAGCATGAATATCTTTAGCTCCTAAATTGACTGAAAAGGCCATCCTCAAACGCCTTCAGCAGTCTATAAACATTCCCAGTGATCCGTTACAGTTTGCCTACAAGCCTAATAGATCGACCTTGGACGCAGTTTCTACCCTCATTTATTTCATCACTCAATCTTTGAACACCTCTGTTAAGTCTGTTTGGTGTGTTTCTCTCGACTACTCTTCTGCATTTGATTCTATTCCTCGATTTAAGTTGTTACAAAAACTGAAATCGTTTGAATGCCTCACTCAGTTATTAGCTTGGCTATCCAACTATTTCACCGATAGGGTACAAACAACTAGATTGTGGAAGGCCACATTGAAATCCCTATTCAACAACTCCGGGGTCCTTCAAGGAGCTGTGCTATCCCCATACTTATTTGCCACTTATTTTTATGATATTCCCTGTGTTTCTCCTGCACTTATTTTTAAATATGCAGATGATGTCAGGTTGTACCAACTCACTTCTTTTTACTCTGATCTAAGTTCTTTCATCGATAATCTTGATCAGATTCAGTCATTCTCCTCCTCATAGGGGCTAACCCTGAACCCCAGTAAATGTATTGAGTGTTTATATAGTTTTGCTTGCTCCCCGTATCTGACAGACCCCACAGTGATTGATAAAAAACCTGTATCCAGGGTGAACTCTGTCAAATATTTTGGTGTAACCATAGATAGCAATCTTCATTGGTCAACCAACATCCACAATCGCATTGATAAACGGCGGTGCCTATCATTTCAAATACGAAAGCTCAGGCATCCCAGTCAGTTATTTCTACCTTTGTTTATCAGCGTGTTTTCCTCATCTTACTCTGCTGTTTTTTCTGGTTTACTGCAACAGGATTTCAAAGTCTTACGTCACGGTCTAACCATTATTAGTCGTGTCTCTTCCATTCCTGTGAATGAATTAGCTGTAAAGATTTCACAGTATCACGTGACTTCCTGTGTGAAATTTTCTGAGAGGTTTTCACATTTCCTAACCACCCATTACATGCAGAACTGACATGTTGTCGTTCCCATCATTCAACTTGCTCCCAATTCCGTCAAATTTCATCTCGAATTAACGCATACCGCAATTCACTTATATCGTGTCTTGATCGTCTATTCATAAACAAAGAGCGGACAATAAGTGAACTTCGTCTTAATCTTGGATAATGAAATGCCGTTATGCCTGCATATCTTTTCTCCCCGTTGATTATGTACATTGTGACAGTTAGCGTGTATGATTTTTTAACTAAAATGTCGGCTCCAGTGCTTGCAAAGTTATACACAGTACAATAACATAGAACGATGAGTAGCTTTGTCCCTCTACGGTCATCACCGACAGAGGACAATAATTTGAGTTCGATCTTTTCTCCTCATTAACGCAAAAGCTGCGTACGGAACACATTCGAACCACAGCCTACCATCCAACATCCAGTGGTTTAGTTGAACGTTTTCACTGCCAACTTTTGGCTGCCCTAAGGGCGTGCGAGAATTCAAATTGGCACGAAACGCTACCTCTAGTTCTGCTCGGAATAGGAACTTGTGTAAAGGCAGACATTCAATGTTCCGCCGCTGAACTTGTCTTTGGTACGACAGTACGACTGCCTGCAGAAGTCTTTACGCCACATAGTAGTGTCAACATAGGCATACCGACATAGGTTCAACGTTTGTCCACTTTCATGCAGGCACTGTCTCCGACCCAAACACGAATAAAACAGCGGAAGGTGTTTTTGCCCCCTGGCTAATCATCCTACTTACATTTATTCGTACGAGTGGATTCGGTAGGTAAATCATTACAACAGCCTTAAAAAGGACCCTTTCGTGTCCTTTCACGTCAC